TGTATGTTACAGATATAATTTTATGATAGATTAGCTGCAAATATGCATTCCGCAAATATCTGACTTTGACATTTGCCAAGCTCGGGATTTGATTGAAGCAGTAATCTAATACTTGTTTTAACATTGATGGGATAGGGCCTACCGTCGCACCTTAACGCGAGGGCCGAAGACCCGATCCTCGTCCTCAACTTGGAACTGTGTGACGAAGCGTCACTTTCCGCGTTTTTTCTTTTCTTGGACTGTAGATCGTTTAGCGTTACATTTAGAAAAAATATACAGTAAGAAATGTTCTTCTTTTTAAAAATTTGGGTGTATTTAGTTATGACAATCACCTATAAAACAACTATGCCAGTCTCAGTCATTAAACCCGCTCAGCGCAAACTAAATGCAGTATGTGCATTGTGGGTTGTATAATGATTTTATATGTATATATCACTCCCCCTCTACGTGTGTCTTTACCCCCAGTGTATTATTTTGCCCATTGTAATTCCCCAGTAGTAATGAATACCAAGTTTTGTTGAAATGGCATTGTTCCCGCGTTGAAGTGTTAAGCTGGAACACAAACACACACATACATATCCATTTTTATATTTTATATTTTCGACAATGGGTTCATTTTTGAGGCAGTATTATTATATTTTTTAGATGTTGGTTATAATTTCACAAATATGTGAGTTTTGCGCACTTTTTGAGAATTGAAAAAATTGCGTTTTTTCGAAAAAATTTTAGCTTGCTTGGTAATTGTTTTCGAAAAAATGTTGTACAAAAGTTGTAGAAAATTGTATCCTCTTGAAAACTGATGTGAAACATAGGACTTAAGTATAAAGAGCTACAGAAAGAAAAACAAAACAGTCCAGAAAAAAATCCACTTTTCGGGCCTCCCGGAGTTTGCCCAAGGTCTGGGAGGTCGAGAACTTAAGGTTTTCACTTGAGCCTGGGTACATAAAACATACTAAATGAAAAAAGATTTTATGGCCTTTTTTCAGTTAAAATGTACATACCGACTGGACTATTATTACATTTTTTTGTAACCGGATGAATATTCGAGGAGTTTAAAATTGGTATTGAACTGGAAAAGCAACCGAAGCACATTTGAGTTTAGGATTATTCGTTTTCAATTGTACACTGCCAGCTAGTAAAATTTCATAAAAAAGTTGATTGTCCGACATCGTGAGTGTTGCGTGACACACTACACTTTCCTCTTCTCAAGTGTCCCTCTCCCTGCGATCGCTCTCGTCTGAAGCCAGTTCATAGACAAACGACGGGTGCCCTGTGGGCCAGTTGAGCAGGCCGCACCGCACCCTCTCCGATCTCTTCGTTCTCCCTGCGCCCGCCCATCACGATCTGCCCGGCTTCTCCATGCATCGCCCAATGGCAAGCAAGCAAAGCCGCCTCAGATATGCATTGCGAGTTGCATTGCATTGTATCCCTGGGTAGAGATCCCTGTTACGTTTTATCTGTTGCTAAAAAGCTTTGTTGGAAAAATTTGAAACCATTCGTTCCGATAGTTCAAAAGTTTTTCTGGAACGTACACATAGATACCATTATTGTTTATATTAAGATGATATTTTGGTTTGATTTGTCTATTAAGAACAAATTGGGTTTAATGTAAATACTTCGATCAAAATGAATGCAAATTATGTAAGGTTGATTCATTTTATTGATCCAAGGAAACTTACAAATGTATACATTTTATTATCAACAGATCATTTTTGTTGCAAAGATACACACAGGTGAAAATGCATAGAAAATTAATTTCACACATCTTAAAACACTCTTATCTATACTGTAAAAAAAGAAATATTAACTATGAATGAAAAAATAATACTGAAAATTTTCTAATAAACACTCTGAACTAACTGGTCAACTTGAAATTAAATGGTAAATTTTTAGTTTACTTGATTTTTTTAAGATATGCTTGATGTGGCACAAATCCTTAATGATATCTAAAAGTGGATAGAGTGCTCTATATTTCACACCGTAGGTTTAGTTGTAATTATTATAATTTGTATTAACATTATTTTGAGTTCTTTAAGAAACACTACCAGCATTCAACTAATCATTTTTCTGCTAAATATTTTGCTGGTAATTGTTTGTAGTCATTTCTTCCTTTAATTTCAGGTGGGTCAGTCGCTTTTGTATCAGCAGTTATCTTAACTCTTTGTATCAAATATGACGGAAACTAATTTGTTAAGTTAATTGCAAACACGGATAAGAAGAAATGTTGAGTCAATTATAATTTAACTGGAGTCAGCATTGGTGTTCTGTAAACTAGTATTTGGAACAATTTCTCTGCTCGTAGTACTTGAGGAAATTTTCTTCTCAGAATTTCATGATGTCTTATGGCAAATAGTAGAAAAATAATATTGACTTTGGTGAAAAATATTTTTTATTAAATGGTTTTTTAATTTTGACTCTTTAATTTTCTTATCTTTTATTCCAATCTCAACAAATATTAATCGTGCATTTGAACAGTAAGGCACAAAGACTCAAGTGTAACCAGTTTTCACAGCAATTAAAATTAATATTAATTAGACATCCAACTTCTAGAAGAACTTGTTAAGGATTTTCATCATGTTATTCAAGACAAAAGCGTCCCTTGTTGATTATTAATTAGTAATGATAGATTATACAACCTTTTATACAAATTTACTTATTTTCATCAGTAGTCAGTAAATAAAAAAGTTTAAAATATTCATATATGTAAAAATTCATATATTTAGGCACTTACCAAATTTGAGTGATAATTCCATGTGTGGGCATTGATGATTTCCTTTGGTATAGCATAACTTTTGAGATATTTACATCTACTATAATTGTTTGTCTTTTTTCAGTATTGGGAGGGGTTATGTATTATGAAAGCATAATTTTGTATTGCTACAAAAATAAATAATTTTTGTTTTAAATTAAACTATTATGCACATAATAGAAACAATCAGTGACGGCTCGTAACTTCAAAACTAGTGGTCCCGTTCTTAAAATAAGGCCAGATTGGTTTACCAAAAAATGGTGGCTATGTCAACAACCCAGCCGTAAGTGAGACACTGTGCGTACTTGAAAGCGGCCAAGATCAGCAAAATTTATAGATTATTCATCTACAAAAACAGTAAAAACTGTAACTTAGGGAGAAGTTACGGATGTTTCCTTGAGCTCCTGAATCTTTACCGTATCTTTTTATCAACTTACACATAAGTGAATTATAAATAAAAGTACCAAAAAGCGTACGTATTTGATGACTAGAAATATTCACTCCTGAGTAATAGAAAACCTTTGCTTCGACAAACGAACTATAGTTTGATTTGATTTGATAATATTGCTAACCAAATAATCCCCCGACGCTGTTCCTCCCGCAAATCGAAAAAAGAAATCTCGACACAACGTGCGCACAGTAAAGCTACTGTACAGTCCAGGTACAAAACAAGAGGTCATCTCTGCATTACTAATCGGATCAAGGGTATCTGGGCGAAAAATCTGATCAGGATGGGTTAAACCTGACCAAGACAAATTTGACGGCGATTTCCCTGACTTAGAGGGAGAGCGATCTGTCCCGTTCAAAGTTAGTTTTTCTCTAAAAGTATTTATTAGCGAACAATGCTTGTTTAACTTGAAGTTGAAAGTTTGTACTTACTCGCAAATTGTCAATACAAAAAGTTTGTGTAATGTAATTACAATGTCTTTTTACCAAGTATCATCACGTTTGCTGCCCCAGATTCGCAGCTCATCCCTTCTCCCCAAGGGATTTGGAATCCGCGAGATAGTACCCCGCGTGCGTTAAAGCGATGTGAAGTCATTCGCCAGCTCCGACTGACGGTCCGATCTCCTCCCCAAGACGTTGAGATGTTGATAAACACCACGGAGCTGTATGTGCCGCCCTCCGCTGCCGGCCTAAGATTTGTTACGGTGCCACCTATTCTTTTACCACGACTGGAAGCATTTCGGCGTAAACTACCTGGACTGCAGACGTACGTGTATCAGCCTCTCGTATATACTTTGCAGTTAATGCAAAAGTTCTGAAGCGATTGTGACTAACGAGAGCAATTATACCATAAATGATCTACAAATGTATTTTACACTAAGTACACTATTGCATTCATTTTCGCTATGTAAATACCGAACACTTTGGGTTGGAGCGCCAACTCTCAAGAACCACTGGCATGGGCCGCCACTGGTAAACATTGCATTTTGAAAGATATGAATTGTATCAGATTCAGTTAATTTTAACGAAAGCTTTTTCTGTCATAAAAATATGTAAATAATATTTATTACTTTAATAAAGTACTATTAAATCTGTACTGTTGTATAACTTTTAAAGATTAAGGGTTATTTGATACGCAATATCATTACAACTATTGATTGTGTCTGTTGTTTCCACATAGTCGTATTTGTTATAATCTTTACACATATTTAATCTAATTTCAGTCACATTCAGTAACACACCACCTTCCCATGTTGAAATCAAGGACCTTTCAATGCCCTGTTGATAAAATGTGTAAAGTACTGCTTTATATAAATATGTAAAGAGATAAAAAGTCCAGTAAAAAATAAACATTACTTATTTTATAATTACTTATTTCTTCATTGGACCCTTTTCCTATCATGAATTTGAAAAACAAATGTATTATCCCCTAAATTATTAGGGTGGAAATTAATGTCAGTCATGTATGGGGTTACATTAAACAACAAGCATTTGTTACATCTTTTCAGGCACATAATCAATTCCGTTGTGCTTTCGTATGAGCTCATTAAAACATTTCTAGTAATTCCGTATGAAATGTTACAATTTTCTACATGTTTAGGCTCTGTTGTATTTTCAAGAAACTTGAAGAGTTATGTTTTAATCGAGACAATTTTTTAATGAATATAATAAAATACTCTTAAAATGTTTTATATGAATAATATTTTCTTTAGCATACAACTCTGTTAATTGGTTCTGAGTAGAATTTTGTATTGCACGTCATCCCATTCAGGTCTTTTCATATACCTCTTAGAAGGTTGCACCACTACAGGAGAATACATGCTTTCGACTGAAAAAATAAATGGTAAATTTACATTATAGACATACTAACATTATGGTGGATCAGACAAAAGAATACACTATCTATAGAGAATTTGTGGCCTGCGGCAGCGAATACGTTGCTGAGCAAAATGCACAAAATGTGTTCATTGTCTAAAAAGTAGCATGCATACTGTTCAAGAATAAATAAAATATTCTCTCAAAACACTGCTACATATTAAATATTTTAAGAAAAACAGACTTCACAAATACTGCAACAACGTAATACAGTATATACGAATTCACTGTGGAACAGTTCTTTACTGAAAAATATCAAAAAAGATGCTGTTCCATAACGCAACTAAGCAAAACAAATATTTATTAGCGGGGGACTTTTTCCTTGGAACCTTACAAGGTTCCTGAGTCCTAACCTGAGTATGAAAATACACTCGGCACACGCAGTATGAGGATAGGATGAATTACACAATTTTATGCATTTTCCACTCGAAATCGAAACTGTTTCATTGTTTTAGGATTTTTCCCAGTTTCCTGCGTATCTAACGACACCATAGACAACTCCCACACGGACTGAGACTGCGTAGCTTCATTTCAATTTGTGCGAGCATTGCAAATTAGTAATAATGATTTCTGGTTGTAGTGTAAACTTGTTAATGTACTACGAGCTGCTACTGCAATATCATATACCGTGATCTTAACCATGATGCCATGATATAAAATTGGTGATTCACGTAGAAATATTGTAGAATTCCATTATGATAAACGGAAAGAAAACTTTTTCTTTAATTTTATTTTAATTTCCGGTTTTACACGTGATATAAAATTGGTGATTCCGTACCCCGCTCTTTGTATTAGCAGTTCTGAATGGCTTAAGAGCTAGGAAAAGTAATACTCAAGGAGTCACGTACCTTCTTTTCGCCGGTGGCGTCCCTGATGTTGGACTGGCCGCTCTGACTGCGGCTCTTGGCCTCGTCGCCTCGCCTTCCGCCGCCCCCGCCGCCCCGACGCCCCGACGCCGCGACGCCGACGCGGGCTTCTTGCGCCGGAAAGGCGCTGAGAAGCCGCGCCACCCTGCCCTCTGCGGCGCCGCATAAAGGACGCTCAGTTAGCGCACAAAATACGCTGGTTGCTTGATACGGCGTGGTTTACAGAAACAGACCACCCTCCCGCAGCGGCGGCGGGTGCATATAAAAGCGAAAAGCTCAGGTGCCCACTCCGGGAACTTGTGCCCCTCGGTAGAACATGATTTGTTGAGAGTTGTGCCCACACTAGGAATCCAGTGTACCAAGACATATAACTAACATACTATGTTATTTGTGTGTCTTTGTACAGCTCTGATTTTTCGAAAATATGAATTGGAACACTTTTCCCCCTAGAGTCTAAAATTAGTCTTTAATTTTGGATGCGTTTTCGTCTTGTGATGGTGAGAACTTCTATTTTATAGCTAGGCGCTGCCAGCTTTAGACTAAATCTAACAGCGCCCACGTTTTGGCAAATCCAAAAGAACCTAAAATTCTAAAATATAATATTTATTTAACCTAAAATTAGCCTTTAATTTTGGATACAGTTTGATTGAGTTGGGTTTTTGTGCGCTGCTAGCTTTAGATGGCTCCCTCTGACACAGCAACTGCATTATTCCGTTCGCGAATTGAGGAGCGCTGTGAGTCAGAGATCAAGCTGAAAGAGAACGTATTGAAAATCCACCAACAAAACCAAAAGGAAAAGGAGATAGTCTTCGTTGACTAAGAACATGAATTTTCTCGGGTCCATTATATGGTAATAGAAAAGAATAAGTAATTTATTCCTGAAAGTATGAGGGAATAATTTAAGATAAGCGCTATATGTTGAACGTATTATGGTATTTCTCCTGTACTAAGATAATCGTGTCAGATCTGACGAAAAATTGCGCGTGGTCGCGGGAGGGCTAAGATAAAGGCCGCTGTTGTGGGTAGGCCTAATGTCGAGACTAACACCCCAGTTACCAACCATTATGGACTCCCACATTCGCCACTTGGTGCCGAGAAAGCTGTCTCAAAGGAAGAATTTACTTTCGAACAAACAAGTTTGAATATTAGTTACTCATGTTGAACCATTTTGTATCCACGAATGCACCTTTGGTGTCGTTTATCTGCAAGTCTTTTTAAATATTCATTAGATGTAATTAATTAGGTCAACCCTAAGTTTTATAAAAAAACTCAAGAGGCTGGCCTTTAACGAAATTTTCGTACTAAATTTGTTTTCTTGTAAATAAGACCCATAGTTGGTAACTCTATCGAGGATTTTCCACTCTTCGGAGATACTTCCACACATGTTGCACCCTCCGTTTTGGAGATTGAATAGCGAGAAGGAAAGGCCGTTGTACAATGTTTTCTTTGAGTTGTAAATTTTTGTTTTCTTACAGAGTATTTTTATATTATCTTAATTGCTAGTTAAATGAAGAAATTTATAAAATGAATAATCACTCCCAAATTTTTGGTAGAGATGAATACAAATTGCACTCGTCAAACAACAGGAAAGAGGCCCAGACAAGTATCAGGAAAAACGGACTCATTTACAGAATTTTCGTCAAATTATTTTGACAAACAAGTATAATCTTGAATTACATCAGTCCATGTTACCTGTCCATTTAGTAAAGTTTTATCTCTTATGACATTAACGCTCTTTTGATTTATTCTTTACATTTCTTGAAAATTACACAAATATAATTTTCTTTAAGTATATTTCACGTTCTTAGTATTTACATTACAGCCTCTTTTACATTATTGAATTTGTGAGTAGAAGTGCTTCAAGTGATGCTTCCAATGACATTTTCTGTGTATGTTAGCTAAAAATTCCACATTGTTTGAATTGCCCAAACGACATTTTCTCGATAAAGGCTCCAAATTCTTATCAACGAAAATTTTCATAAAGGATATAACTCTTATACAATGTCCTTCAGGTGGCAATAGTTGGCAGGTGGGAGGAGGGTGAGGAAAAACAACAAAAGGTAGCGAGTAAAGAGATTAGATAGTATCTAAGACGAAAAAGTCTCTGCCATTAGGTAGCATTACTAGTTATTTTCCCCAATTAGTACGTATACACGAAGTAGTACACGTGCAAAAGTTCTTTATATGTTGGGAGTACTTACAACGAGACCTCTAGAACATTTCCCAAAATTGGCTACATTATTAACTTTCTCGACTTTACTTCATAAGAAGACACAGTGTTGTAACCATGCGCCGGAAAACGGCTATTTTTCGATAGAAAAAAATCTTATTGCTGGGCCCTGGTAACGAAAAAGTGGATAATACTTGTTCGTATATACAGTAAATTACTTCCTCTAATACGCTGTGTAGCCAGAATCCATGTTTTGTGGGTCCTTGTTACCAAAAAATTGATTAAGGCAAAACGTCGGTCTGTCCGTCTGTATGTCCATTTGTCCGTCCGTCCATCCGTAATCAACGTTTGCGCCTAAACTGTTCAGCCGTTTTCTCCTAAATTGTTATTCCTCGAATCGATTTGAAGAATCTCATGACCCTCGAGTTTGAAGCATATATTTTTATTTTTGGAGTACTTTACATGAAACCTCAACATTTTCAAAATATTCTCAAAAATTGCTCCAAGCTTAACACTATCCGAAGACAAAATTGAATACAAAAATCCGAGTCATATTAGAGAAAAAATTGAAATTGTTGAGGCTTCATGTTAAGTATCCCCCAAAATGAAAATGTCCATTTCAAATTCAGTGGGTCTCGAATTCCTTTAAATCAATTGAGGAATGTCAATTTAGGAGAAAATCTGTTGGTTTAGTCGCTAGCGTTCGATCAAAGACGCATTGACAGATGGATAGACAGACGTTTTGCCATCAATCGATTTTCCGGTGTCAAGGATCCACAAATCGCGGCTTCTTTGCTAAGCGTTAGAGGATGTAATTTATTATATATAGGATCATGATTGAACCACATTTTTCGTTACCAGGACCTGGCAATAAGAGTTTTCTGAAGAAAATTTACCGTTTTCGGCGCAAGATTCTTACCAAGTAAGGACGAGAAAGTAAAAAGTATTAGATTGGAATAAATAATAAAGAGTAATTATTATCATCATTGCCCCTGGGTGCAAAGTCTCTGTTCACGGCCCTGCCTAACTGGTTTAGATTTTAGATTTAGATTTAGATTTATTCAGACAAAAAAACACTAAAAACTGTATGTGACGTAGGGGGGAAAAGATTATCTGCTTACGTTTTCTTGAGTTCCAGAATCCCCTCCTGTCATTTTAACTATAAATAGTTGAAAAATGAGTAAAATTTTAACGTAAATTAATAAAAATAAATTTAAAAAATAAATTTAAAAATCACAAGATCAGCAATATTTGGAAAATAGTAATTTTTGTTTCTGAGTTATAGAAAACTTATTTGCATCGGTACACGAATTGCAATTATGATTTTTCTGCATTGCTAACAAAATAACAATTTGTACACTAGGCTTCCGCGTCTCGAGTTCATTACTTCTTGGCTGTTCTGGTGACGCCGCGTCGTTGGCAGATAGGCCGACGTTTCGCCTGTCATGTCACAGGCTTCTTCAGGGTAGTGACACAGTAAACAGGAGGCAGAGCTTTACTGTGTCACTACCCTGAAGAAGCCTGCGACATGACAGGCAAAACGTCGGTGTATCTGCCGGCGGCGTCACCCGGACAGCCTAGAAGTAATAAAATAGCAACTCGCCCCTCGCAACTCTACTCTTACATTACAAGCAAAAGGATAGCTCAACGAAACGTGCATAGTGAAGCTACATTTACGTCCAGAAGCGAAACAAGGGGCCATCTCAGCATTTGCTCAATGGATCAGGGAAACTGGACAAACATCTGATCGAGATAGGGGTCATTTACCCGGAATTTGAAGTACATTATTTGCTACAAACAATAAGACTTTTTTTAATTATATAAGACAAATGTAAACTAATTCTACATATATCACTGTTTTGTTAAAATAAACATTATTCTTTTTGATAATCAGTACAGTCTCTTATTGTATAGAAACAGTTATGCAGCAGAAAATATTTTACTTTTAACTTATATATGTGAACCTACTTCAATTGTTTAATGTCATCTGGCAGTGCGTTGTAACGTAACGTACATGTACGATATATTGTATGTGGATTTCTGATAGTGAGCTCTTGATACTGACACTTAATGAACGTGATTTTTACGTGTGTTGTAATTATAAATATCAGTATTGCATGAAAATATGTTTCTACCGTTAAGAAGTCACTTTTGACAAATATTACAGATTCATAAATATATAGGCAAGGTAGTGGTAAGATTCCAAGCTCAATGAAGAGATGCTTGCAAGGGTAACGCGGATGGATTTTTTTTAATTAATCGAATAATTTTCTTTTGCAATATACAGGTCTGAGTACTACATGATGGGTTTTCCCAGAATATTATGCCATATCTCCGGCGGGAATGTGCATTTGCAAAATACATGCAACAAGCTGCATGAAGGCTGACAGAATTTGATAGAATTCTGAATGCGTAACATAATGAACTTAATTTAGTGTTTAATTTTGTTATATGTACATTCCATTTGAGGGTTGTCTGAATTGACAGACCTAGAAATTTTGTTACCTGAACATTGTCTAATTCCATATTATTAATTTTCAATGGAGCATGCGATGGCTGATTTGAAAGGCAAACTTGCATTGAAACTGTTTTTCCTTCATTAACAATTAATTTGTTATTACAAAACCAATTTGAAACTTCTAAAATCGTACTATTTATCGTTTCTTTTTTGCAAAGAACATTCGTGTCATCGGCAAACAGAACCGTTGTTCCGTTTTTAATAGACGGCGGCATATCGTGTACTTATAACAGAAAGAGGATAGGACCTAAGATCGATCCTTGCAGATCCCCAAATTCAATTGGTAAAGATTTGGAAAGATAAGTAAACAATGTTCTTTCGTGCCACTACGGTATTTCTACTCTTCGAGATCGATGTTTAAGGTACGAAGTTATCCAATCTAGGACAATACCACGAATTCCAAAAGAAGGTAATTTTGATAGCAAGATGTTATTGTCAATAACGTCAAAAGCTTTCGAAAGATCTAAAAATATTTCAATGAGTGCTTCATTTTGGTCCATTGATGAAGCAAAATCTTTTAAAAAATATAAAATGGCAGTTTCCGTAGATTTTGATTTTCTAAATCCGTGTTGTGAGTCCGAAAACGCTTCGTTTTTTCTGAGAAAAGTTTTCATTCGCTTATAGAAAAGCCTCTTCAATATTTTTGAGAAACCTGACAAAAGAGAAATTGGTCGGTAATTTTGAATTTCATTTTTTCCCCTTTTTTATAAAGTGGATTAATTTTTGCTTTTTTGAAAATATCTGGAAATATTCCTGTGCATAATAAAGCATTGAAAATGTGAGTTAACGTGTGTATAAAGGCAGGTGCACAAGTTTTCAATAAACAATCCGGAAATTCATCTAAACCAGATAAATATTTATTTTTTAGTTTACTGACTATTCATAAGATTTCGTTAGAAAAAGTTTCGGAAATAAAAATCGTGTCGAAAATTTTTTGGAAAGGTAATGGTGTTGAATTTCACGGTTTTAGTAACTTCGTGAGTTCAGCCGCAATTCTAGAAAAGTGTTGGTTGAAGAGATTTGCCACTTTTTCCGGATTACTGGCTTCTCTTTCATTATCCTTTAAAATAACATTCTCTACTAAGTAACGAGATGATGTGGTCTTATTTTTTTTTCGATAATTCACATTGCTTTAGTTTTGTTACTAGCGTTTAAAAATCTTCATTATTATTCATTATTTTTGCCCTAACTATTAATTTTTTTTAAGATTCTTTTGTAATCTCGGAAGTAGACATGAAAACCGGGTGATACGTTACGAAGTTTAGAAATAAAGTAAAGCGTAGGTTTGTTTTTACACGATGTTCTAATTCCTTGTGTGATCCAAGTATTATTTTTCTGTGAAATATTTAATATGCTCTTTTTGATTGCGTTGAAATTTCCTTTGCTACCTCGCGATTTCCGGAGCGTAAGTGCTTATTGTCTGTATTGCACAAAGAGTGTCCTGAAATCTCTCCCGTGCCTGGCATTTCGCACGCCGCGCTACAGAGAGAAATACCTACGTTTCTTTTCCTCGGGCTCCACAGCGACGTCGTCGTTGTCCTTTTCGTCTTCCTCGTTATCGTCTTTGTCTGCGAGCAGCTCTTCAATTTCATCATCGTCTTTCATATCTTCTTGAAAATCATTGTCCAGGCGTTCTGTTTCGTTCGACAATGAATCCTAAAAGAGATAGAGAAGTATTTTATAATTTCAAACGGCGTAAGTAGTGATGTGTCGAATTGAACGGGCAAACCATATCTGTCCTTTGCTTTGTGATTAATTAATCCAGACTCAAATTAAATTCATTTCCAAAGCGTTAATATAAAATTAAATTTCATTTTTTGAAGAAGAGGTTTTGCAAAGCATGAAATTAAATAGAGTGAACCTCAAAAACCGTAAGAAAACGTAGTTATTATTTAACGTTTTATGTGCCAAGAGCGTTTTGCTTCTCAGATGATAATGAAATGGAAATTGCCCCCAATTGTAAATGTAGTGTACTACCATATCGCTAAACTATTAAGATGGCACGTGCTGAGGGTTCGCACATAATATTATGTTTTTCATTGGTATACTTATGCAACAAGTGTAATGAAAACAGCGCATACTGCCGCATTTGGAACAGCTGCCATTAATTGTTTCTCATCGTTTACTGCAAATTTTATAGGACCCGAAAAACCCCGAATAAATATCGTACTTCCACACTTCCATAACATAACATTAGAGCTTGCGCATGCGTTCTTCAAAATTAACATATTTAACCATCTCTCTCATTTGACATGATTTATTTTCGTCAAAATCAGTAAAAATGGTAAGTGACGTATTTAGGAGTAGAATCTTTGTACGTTTTCTTGAACTCCCGAATATATTCCCCATTCTTTAAATAAATAGCTGAATGATGAATAAAGTCACCAACGAAGCGAAAGAAATATTTAAAAATTGAACAATTTTGCTCCAGAGTTTTAGAAAAATTATTTGGTTCGGTGAACGAAATACACAGTTGATATTTTCGTATTGCTAACTTAATGTCAATCAATATCCGGCTCTTCTGCTAACACATGTAACAAAAGGGGAGTTCAAAAAAACGTGCGCATCGTAAAGATACATTTATGTCCAGAAGCGAAACAAGGGACCAAATCTGTTGATTCTGACTCCTCATAAATATGATTCCTACGATGTGTATTGTAATTCCATGAAAATATTAAGTAATTCAGTTTCGACAAAAACTACAACTACTACTATCTGTAAAGAAATAGACAAGGCAAAAGTCATTTCAAACTCAAAGGAGAGGCTGGCAAGAACCATATGGATGCCATTTGCATATTGTTTGTACATTTTCTTCTGCAATCTAAATGTCTGGATATTATTGGATATACTTCTCCAAAATATTATGCCATTTCTCGGGCAATGATGAGCAACTCTATATATCACTGTCGAAAGTAAACTCAAAATGAGTTCCAATATAGGAAGAACATTAATTAACAATAATCTCTTCCACTTAAAACCTCATCCTTTTCAGAAAACGTTGTGGTTCAAGCTTGTTAAGTCGTCAGAAAATCGTGACTGTCTAGTACAGGCTAATCAAATAAATTTGCCAGGTCGTTAACCACGGGCCAACCAACCGTTCGAAAGAGGGAGCAGGGGGTGCACCCTGAAAGTAAGTTTTCCTTGTTCGCCTACAAAAAAACAACAACACAATTTCATTAAAGTAAATTATTGTCGCAGATCCAGCACATGTTGCACTAGAATTGAGACATTTGGCATGGGTATGAATGTGGGATCAACATTGGTATCCCTGCGTTGAATAAGACTGTCGCCTGAGATAGGTACCAGTGATTGACAGCCGCCAAATCTGCGTTACGTCGATACGCATAATGCTGATTGGACAGGAACTTGTTGAAGTGTAAGAAGAATCGAACTGTGTGTGGGTGACCGTACGGCCGTCCACCCTGTAGTGATATTATTCTAAGAGAATTCCATCTTTTAATTTCCGTGAAATTGTATTTTATTTTTATTGATGACCTAAGGAAGCTTACTTTCTGGCCACATTTGCACTCTTTTCTTGTGGAAAACTCGACCAGTTCTATGGAGAAATGGACGTTCCTTAAGGTGAACGCTTAATGGAGGTGGTCGTTACGCGGGTTCCTCCGCGCCCCCCAGCGCCCGTAGCGGGCGGCGAGCGCACCTGGTCCGCGGCGGTGGCCGACAGGGCGTCCTCGTTGCCGTTCATGTCGATAGACTGGATGCTCCCGCGCTCCACGCGCGTTGACGTCTCGTCCCCGCACTCGCTCTGCGCCGAGTTCTTGTTGACGACGACGGCCGGCGACAGCTGCGACATCCGGGAATATTTCCTCTCTTCGTCCTGTAAGGGGAATTAACGCATTCATGCTTTCTTATATTATTATACTTGAGGAGTTAATTTTTGAGATAATATATCCGAATTTATTTTGAGTCGCATCAACGATAAAGTTGTTAGCGACAATAACAAAAATGTATACAATTATGCTTTTTACTTCAATTATTTACATTTTAGAACTTATATTTCAGATACAACATTAATAATTTTAGAGCATCTAATTATTAGCTCTTGGTGCACAGAAGGAAGCACGACTAGATGAGGTAATGATGTTATTCCTCTGAAAAAAAAAATCACGTTCCCATAAACATTTTTTGTAAATAAACTTAATTTTAGATTAATTAATTAAATGGTTCCAAAATTAAATAATTATCCAATTTCTTTCTGCAAAACAGTTTTTCAAACGTATTTAAAATTATCTGATTTTTATGCTAATTTAAAAATAATTGTCGAAAGGAACGATAAATTCAAACTCTCAACCTCTTGATCCGCATCAAGAAAGCGTTTCCTATGAGGGCACTGTCCGTTAGTTTAATTTTTCTATAGTAACATCACAGGAACCAAATGATCGACACATGTCTGGTCGGAATTACACTAGGGAACAAAATAACAAAAATTGCTTGCCTCCAAGATGATTTCAAAGGAAACGATCACTCTAATTTTTAAAACCATTATGAAAAGGTTCTATTACGCAAAGTTCAAAAGATATAACATTACTACGCAAAGAGATATTATGCGTATTGATTCTACATATCTTACAGGTGCAATTTAAATGCATTTGCATCAATAGCAAAATACGGTATATTTAAAAACTGTGACGTGATATGACATTTATATTGTTATATTCGTAATCTACGCATAAAATTTAGTATGTTGCGCACTCTACCTTCCTGGCAATAAAAATCTTATTCCCTAGTGTTATTAACGACTATTGGTAATCCTAATTACCACTTAACACAGTCATACATCCTGTTCGGGGATTCCCGATTTGGGTGGAAAGACAAAGCCTTCCCACTCCTAGTGGTGGCCCCTGCTAGTAAGTGCAGTCTGAGATGAGTGGGTGCAATGAGGGAGAAACGAGTGCTGAGACTCACGTGCCTCGACACGGGAGCGTGGGAATAGGGGATTTGGAGACTAGGACCTAAATTATCCCCTCTACGCAGGGCTGCCACTAATGCTAGGGAGATAGAACCCCGATAGATTTCGAAGGGCGTGGACTTGACTCAGTAAACATCATATATGTATATGTATATATATATATATATATATATATATATATATATATATATATATATATATATATGATTCACTCAACTGTCTCTGCAGCGCTATCATACAGTGAATATCACATGCTGAAGGTTGTTAGTGTTGCTTTTGCTTCATTTTTATGTACTGACAAAGTGTTTATTTAGGCTCTCACAAAAGTTTCGCTAAGTGCGCATATATTTATAAGTGGCCCTGGTCTGTGGCAAACATTCTAATAGTATTTTCGCTGGCCGGACTAAAAGAGTTATGCTGCTTCTGATGAGAATGATGATGATGATATGATGATGATGATGATGCTTGTATCATAAAAAAGTATTACAGAATTATTATCAGATATCAATCAGGTGTCAAAAGTACCATGAATAATGGACTGAGAGTCTGCGAATGATCTCGTTGTCGTTCCGATTTTTCTTCGAAAAGGTGAGCGAGGATCATTGAGTGACAGCCTCCACACGCAGCCTAAACAGAGAATTAGTTTCAATTAGGGGAACAACAAAAGTGAATCACAGTGCGTTTTACATATGGAAACTAATGGTATAAAAGCTAAAGCTAAAAGTATAAAAGCTTCTTCAAGATACACTGGCTTATGTCAATGGCATTTGCAACATTTACTTTCTGCACTTTATAATCCACAAATTTTTGCGCTCGAGAGGGAATAGTTATAGTCTTTTCCTCGATGTCATCGTTGCAGAGCTTTCCGTATCTCCCTTCTCCACACACGTACAAATCGCCTTCCTCTGCGAGGAAAATAATGTTTTTACATTATATATTGTAACGTAGATCATTGCACGATATTTTAAGGGCAAAGGGCATTACAAACGGTACCTGTGATGAACGTCGAATGATTTTCTCCACAGCTGACAGAGGCCACATTGTAATCGGCCAAAGAATCCACTGGCGTGGGAAGTATACTTTGATTCACTTCGGATCCAAGGCCGAGTTGCCCATGTGAATTATTACCAAAAGCAAATACTTTTCCACTCCCTGAGGAAGAACATACACGTTAGTAAAATAGTTAAGAGTTTGTTATTAATAAACTTTAATTTTCTGTTAACTAGTCATGAATGTAGCTAGTAGATAACGAAAGGAAGGAAGAATGAAAATGAACAGACTTGTTCATGACCTTTGGAACATCACTTATTCGTATTTCCAAACGTCGTCATATTTTTACTTTCCCGCCCTTAAGAAAGTACTTCTTAAGAAGAAAAAGTTCTGTAACGCTGCGGGAAAAAACGGCGGATTTTCGGCAGAGAAACCTTTTGTCGGACCCTTGTGTGGAACGAAAAAGTGGATAAATCCAGTTGCTAAATTTAGAGAAAAAAACACTAACATGTGGTCTAGCCAGATTCCATTTTTTGTGGATCCTTGATACCGAAAAATCGAATTCCAGCAAAACGTCTGTCTGTCATTCCGTCTGTGAACAACGCTAGCAGCTAAACCGTTCGGCCGATTTTCTCCAAAACTGATCGATTTTTTCCCATTCGATCTAGCTGAAGTCGCAACCCCTTCTATTTGAAATAGTTTTTTTTAATTTTTGGAGGGTAGTTTTCATTAAGCACCTGGGACATTTTCAAAAATTTCAAAAAAATGACTCCATCGGTTTTTACCAAATTTGTTGAATAGTGTAAAGGACGTTTAAGAGTATGGTACTGGTATCATTTTCGTTAAAAACTCTGATTTTTCGATAATTGCAAAAATTCACCATTTTCCCGTGTCTTTCCACAACTGCAATTTTGAATTAACAATATCAAACAATTTTTTTCTTAATGAAATGTGTTCATCGAAAACAGTTCTTCAAAATAGGGCGTGTTCAATATTTCGAATTATGAGTATTTTTGTGTAATTTTAGATAAACATACGAGCTTTTAAAACCATTTTCTCAGAGACGGCATCAAATTTTGTCTTTCATTTTTACCCTCGTATGTAGCAAAGAACTGAAGATAGTGGTGATGGACCTATTTTTGTCGCACTCAGCGTTTTCGAAAATTGCATTGCAGTTCGGAATTGTAAATTCAAATTTCGCGCGCTTCGTTTCAGAGGTTGCCAGTTCGCAAAATAGCAACACAGAGGTTTCAAAATTCTTCGAATTCATCCATTTGTAGTTGGTCATAATGAATGTGTGATATAGATAATATTGTCATTGAAAGGAAGTAGATCGAACGAAGGTAATAAATTTTAACTTAGAACTAACAAACACACTTCTATAATTTAAGACGTTTTAATCGCTGATTATGGTAATAAAAATTGAAAGCTCACTTCAAATGTAATCAACGTAGGCTTGTGTGAAATTATTCTTGCCTTTGTGCATTATGTTCTGAGAATACTGTAACATTTAAATTTATTCATGTTTCGTTTCATTTCTAAAAGAAATACTACTCTTTCTGACAACGGAAATAAATGCACGAGAGGCGATTCGTTTGAATTAGACTTTTTCAAGTTATAACTGAGTTTTTAGTAAGGCAGAAATTACAATATTTTAATGTTACGTTTAATAAACACAAAATAGAGATTGCTGATAGCCGATTTATATAGTGGTTCCAATCTATTTGCACCAAGTTATTGTTTGGTGCTCAATGCATATTTCAGATTTGCACGATTCCTCTGCCCTCGTGAACTGTGCAGCTCTTGTCCAAGAATAGACACCAATTCTCCTCCTTGCATCTTGAGAATGATCCTGAAGTAAACAAAACTACGTACTATTCACGCGCGGTTCGAGCACAGTCACTTGAGAGTATTTGTAACACATGCGTATGTTTGCATGAGATCCATTGGGAGCGTACTTGCGAGCGCGAGCGTGTGCGTGCCGCCGCATGCGATCGCCGTCAGAGGCTCCCCCAGCAGCACGCGCGAGGGCGTGGAGGCGCCCGCCACGCTGTCCGGCAGCCCCAGCTTCCCGTGCTCGCCCTCGCCGCACGTGTACAGCTCGCCCTCAGCTGCAACAAAGCCACACACACCGCTTCACTCACTACACACTCTCTTCGTCGATCATTAATGCTATAGCTGATCCGCGTTCAAAAAATTCATTACATACTATTTATTCTTTATACTGAGGCTTTTACTATTATTATTGATACGATTAAGCCCCCCCCCCAAATATAGTGAAGTGTTGTTATGTGCAGGGGGGTAGATCGAAGTTAAGTATGATTATATTCGTATACTTACACACACACTTACATTCACTACACTAACAATAATGCCGGGAGACCGATCTGGAGCTTAGGTATTGTTCCGATGGGGAGGTGCTTCCTTGCTGGGAGATACCTGGTTGGGGATTGATTGATTAATTGTTAGTGATTCCGGGCGCGGCATCTAGTCCAGTAATTGCAGTTCAAGTTTTTTCTCAGTGGGGGAGGTGGTGGTTCTCCCGATGTATGGCGAGAGCCGGCGCCGTCTGCTACCGAGAGTTTTTCCAACCAGGTATCTTCCACCAGCGGGTCACCACCCCGGACGGGACAAGCTATAAGCTCATGACCAGTCTCCCGGCATATGTGGTAGTGTAGTGCATGTTAGTGTACGAGTGTGTAAGAATAGGACAAAGAAGAAGTAGGAAAGATCGCGCACAGTTCCTCCAGCTCTGACCCGCTTGTTAAGGTTCTGCTCTGGCATTCGCCTAATGTCAATCGGAGAAACCACAGAAAGCTACCGATCAGAGCAGCCGGTCGCTAGAGGTGGAAGTGCACGATTCACACTCGCATGATGAGTCAAACTTCTTCCTCAGTTGTATTTATCATCTACAGTACTGTTAACTTGTTCTCCCAAAACTGCTTCCGTACACGTCAACGCCGAAACTGACTTTTATTGATGCAAGAAATGTTGAAAAACCAACACATATATTGCAGTCAAATTTGTATATTTGTTGTTTAACTGTGCAATAATGACGGCAATGGGATTGAATACACTATTTATCAGGCGCTGTGATGTCATAGAAAAAAGGTTTAATTTAAAATCAGCATGTCTAAATAAGGACGCTAGGAAATTATTTCCATTTCGCCCTGAATGATATATCTTTATTGATGAAAAAGTAATTTAAATGAAATTTTTTTATTTATCGCAAAAACAATTAACACTGTTTTTTAACATATGAAGGGGAAGTTAGTCGGAAATACCAGGTCAAAATCATCATATGGATGCCGGTAATGTTTTACAGGGAGATTTCAATACCAAGTCATAATTTTCTATCTGTTTGTAAACTTGAATATACAAGTCTCCGGATCAAAATATTTTACGCTGATTTAAGCGTGTTGATGTGCGCCAATGTGTGCGTGCTACAAAAGCACGAGGCGAGCTGCAGCCACGAGTCGGGAACCTGGACGTCCCTGCCGTGGTGCGCAGTGGGCGAGCGAGCTCACCTGTGACCATGGCCGTGTGGTAGTAGCCGCAGCTGATGTGGACGACCTGGTGGCTAAAGGGCAGCTGCTGCGGAAAGGGCACTGTCTCGTGGGCATTGCCCAGCCCCAGCTGCCCGTCTGCATTGCTTCCCCACACGAACACACGCCCGCTCTCTGCGGCAAAGAGAAACCAAACATCAGAACGCAAACAAACAAAACAAAAAAAGGGAAAACTTTGCATTTCTTCTTTATTGTGAAAAATCTTGTACCATAGTTGCTACGTCGATATATCGTATTTCAAAATATATTATTTCAATTAAATGAATCCATTGCATTACATTTTATTTACGAAAAATAGTCAGTGAAAAAAGTCAGTTATATTTTTGGGGAGGAGAACATGTTCTGAAAGTCAAATAGTGTGAACGCCACAAAAACTATGATGCGCGCTATTACTTCGCACAGTTTGTAGCGAGTTATTGTTGGTTGTACAAGTATCTCTAAAAGCAACTTTATGCCGAATTAAAAGCTGAACTGAGGAACTACTAATTTATGTATGTACGGGTATTAATAAAATAATTCTGCTCAACCCAAAAGTAGTCCAGTCACAAATTATTTAAGTTTATTGGTTGACATTATTGCATTCTGGGGGTGATATAATGCTACACTATGATCTAATCTAATATGAAGATTAAAACTTAAGCTTATATACTCTAACAATAATTTAACTAATACGAACGTTTTCACTATTTTTGAAATTGTCTGCCTTTTCCATCTCTTTCTATGTGTTTATTTACAATAAATTAAAAATAAAAGGATGAGTGGCGCTGTACTGTTGGTGGTATTTGAACAGTTTCCGCGCGGTTCGCACCTGTGAGCGCGGCGGAGTGCAGGCAGCCGGCGGAGAGCTGGCACACGGCGTCGCCTGCGTAGTCCAGCAGCTGTGTGGGCACGGCGCGGTCGATGCAGTCGCCGACGCCCAGCTGCCCGTCGCTGTTGCTGCCCCACGCCCACACCTGCCCCGACTCTGCACACGAGTAATATTTGGTTCAATCTTCGGTGACGACTCGAGGATGGCTGAGGAGAGTTCACGTTGCCGTGAATAATACACAAGATGGAGTTTACAACGTTTATTGAGAGCGTAAACGCCTCGTTCGCAATCACTACATAGTATGAGCTGCTGGGAGCTCGCTCTTTCTGTATTTATACATAGTACACGTTATGAGCTGCGGATCAAAGGGGGAGGAGGAGTAAAGGTTAGGGTGGTCAAGGGGCAGACGGATGGGTAAGATTCCGGGGCCTCCGCTGGCTCATGCAGCAAACAGATAATGATTTGTTTGCGGCTGGATCTCGTCCGGCGGACTTTCCCCTGGCGGACGTGCTCCCGAAAAGTGTGTACATAACTCACGCACACGCGCGCGCACTTTCAGGCTGCACTGAGCGGCTAAATGCGGCTTCGTTAGCGAGTAGAACAGGCGAGCAGGCACCAAACGCGATGCAAGGTACAGTGAAATGTGTCTAAATCGGAAAAGATCGGGACAAAACATTATTCCCGTTTGAGGAGGTTTTCGTTTAATGCAGAGTTGTCCATTTTATGACACTTGTTCTATTGATATTTCCGGCCTGAAACTAGTAAATTACATGACTTTATTATAATTATAAAAATATATTGACATGTAGCATGTTTATTGAAGAAATCAAGAAGTGAATATTAAACATACTTCTAAAAATTAAAAGGTAAAACTTCACAACTTGTGCCCTAAAATATAATATTTTTCAAAATTCATTTACAATTTATGTTTTTTGGTTTTCCCACTTGCTAACACCTTTTCAGTTCTGTTTTCTGAAGTTGAAAAATGTTAATACTTAGGGTTTTATGTTTTCATCCAACCATTGTTTAACCAGTTGTGAAACTCATAAACACACCACCTCACTGCCAAAGTGGCTGCACCCGGATGGCTCGATGACTATTTCAACGTACAATGCGTCACAATCCATAGAACTGTTTATCTGATACCCTCAAATGGACTTGACCAATAGGGCTCTGGCCGAAGAGTGACGATTGTCAACGTAAGGTCGGAAGAATCGTGAATTCAAGACATGCCCATGAACCACGCTCAGAGAGCGGGAAGGGAGAAAATTCCCATAGGGCCGTCTCCTTGATAGACATCTGACCTGAAGGTCGAATTTTACGATGACAACTGAAGCTTCTCGTCTTCACAGTGCGGCTGCTACGACTTAAACTCGTCACAGGGACAGAGAAATTAAAACAGACTTGCAGATGCATTCATTTTATGAAGACTTTTATACAGCATTCGTCTGTCGACTCTCTCTGCCAATTGCATTAAAATACCATAAAATTAGTTTTAGGAAGGTTTTTCTTTCCCCGCAGGACATGAAAAACCGTTCCGTTTCCGCGTTGAACAGATTCCGTTTTATGCTGTGTAAAATGTCATTTAACTCTACGGGCCGAGTCAATTTTCCGGTTAAGGCAGGTTTCAGGCTTGTACAGGTTCCAGTTTAGACAGATTTTACTGTGGTGACAAACTAACACCAACCTTTAAAGAAGATAAATCTAAACAGAACCCAAAGTGTCACTCGTAATGAATGATCATGTACTGTAATAGATATTGATTTATTGTGTTACGTAGGACCTATAATGATAATTCAATCGTTTTAAAATGTTAATTATTTCTCTGGATTAACAGCAAAAAATTGATTTGAGAGAAATGCCCTTACGAAATGCACATACTTTTCCCCTTACCGAACTCCAACTGCACCTCTACATCACTGTTTCTGGAACTCGAGAAGATTAATAAAGAGTGAATTTCAGCTACCATATTAAATAATTTAACTAGTGGTGCTGACAAAGCACATACTTTCTCGTAATATTTCTAAACGCTTCGCAATATTATATTGACTTGAAAATTATATTGAACATCTGATTTGATGTGACATACTTTTTCCAAATGGAACAAGAGAGTTGTTAAATTTCAAAATACGAAAGTGACATAGAGGCATTTATTTTCAGTTTATTTAGAATCTTAATAGATTGTATATGTGAGTAAAATTACCTCAAATGATTTTCATTAATTTTATGAAATTCTCAATAGTTTTCCGCGCCAACAGAAATGTTAAAAATAAATATACCACAGCCAGACCTAATCGAAAATTTTCTTAATTTTTCGGATTCCTTTTAATAGAACGCCAATATTATTTTAAGAACATTAAAGAACAGTAAAATCTCGTCCTAAACTCCATTTTCTTTGTAAAATTTGGAGCCGTCTTTAAGAAAATGGTGTTTAAGCACTACTGCATATTCAAAATTTGAAACTTTTTCACACAAACTTAAAAAGTTATCGAAAAACTTCATTGGAAGTAATTTAAAACAAATTTACGCACAAATACAACAGTGTTTACAAATTGCCGGAAATGGGCACATTAACAGTGTGAGATCTTAAAACAAAAATACATTTGGTACTTTTTGAAAAAACAAAAGAAGCAACTATAATGCCATTTTGAAAAATCTCCTATGTTGTAGTAATAAGAAGAATCCGTGATGACGAATATGAGAAAGTACTAAAACAGTCAGCCATTTTTTTGAAACTAATTTGTTTCATTCAGTAATGAGTGGTATTAATAAGAACGAGCAATTTCTCATTACTCACGATTTTGGAGAAATTACTTCTTTTGGCACGAATAACGTTCTCTTTGCTTTACTCAGTCCTGAGCGTTTGCTCCAGCTTCTAGCATTTACTCTGACGAGAGAAATTACGTATGAGAGATTTCGTATGAATAATCGAGAGCAAATGCTCAAACGCCGAAGCAATTAAGATTTCTTGAGTGACCTCCGTAGTTTGCTTAGGGCACCAAAGAGAGGTTAGGTTAGTTAGTTCGTTGCCGACGTTCGTAGGGATCAGTGGCATGTGAAAATCGGTATTTAAAGATGTTTTACATTTCAATTAAAATGGCATAGTTGATGCAAATTCGATACAAGAAAATATACAAAGAGAGAAGACTTTCTCATTCGAGAAACTTTCTCTCTTTCTTCTCTTCAGATTTGAGAAGAAAAATTTTGAATGGCTGAATTTTTGAAGGAAAAGTGTGAACCAAAAGGTGGTGCTTTGAGCAACCTACAAAAAATGAATTTTTTCTTAGATAATTAGGAGGTTCTGGATTCCAAATCGGTTTGGCAGAAGACATTGAGGTCCATCAAAGTACTGTTTCTGTAACATTCAGTAGTGTGTTAGAATCCATTGTTTCTAAAGCCAATAAATGGATTTAATTTCCTAGCAGCTCTGAGGTATTGCAGAGAGTAATGAATGACTAGCAGGTAAAATGTATTTTCCCCAGTGCAATAGGGTCTCTAGATTGCACACACACACACTCACACACACACACACACACACACACACACACCATTATAATCTATATATATATATATATATATATATATATATAATATATATTGAAATCAGAACGAAGAACGTTTCTGCATGATAACAATCAAAATTGATTACTAATTCTAAGTAAAATAAGCACTAAATTGATCAGCGTAGTAACGCCGCCGCCGCCGCCGCTGCAACCAACGGTCAAATCGGGGGGTAAGACGGCGACGGCAAGCGACGGTTAGCCAGTATCGCAGAGCAGGCGCGCGAACGCAACACGGACGGGCTGTGCTGCCCCAAGCGGTTTTATGGTGATATTACAACAGTGTGGAATTGTTGTAGCCATTAAGTGGAAGATTAGGGTGATAAAAAATTGAATAATCGGCGATTAGGAGAAAATGGAAGTGCGCACCAGGACCGGGATCAGTGAGAAACATAATACTGGAGTTTGATTGGCCGACAGACACGCGTTCCATGTCGCGCCCGTGGTGTGATGCAGCAGCGGGCCGCACCGTGCGAACACTCGAGTGGGATTTAGAAGAACTGCTGAGATCGGAAACTGCCGACGGGACGTTGCGTTGTGCGTTGTGCATGTTAGTACATGTGATATTGCTTGTACTGGCTGGGGGGGGTGGACCCGGCGAGCTCGGTGGCCGTTGCGTTGGGGGGCAAGCGAAGACAACCGCCGAGGGAAAAAGCGACTTCCCGACAGACTTCGGGGCGGACCGAAGTTTGCCGCACACGCCGCCGCCGTTGCCACGGCGGCCCCGCTCGCCTCCAGCCAGCCGGTGTCATCAGAAGCCTCACGGTAGCGTTACTTGTGCACGAATCATTAAGGCCTTGCGCACTGCGTATTGTAAGAATTTTTGTACCATAGTGTTCCAATCATTAAACTTTTATTGCACAAAAGAGTTGCTTCGATCATTCTTCTAATGCAGCGTCAAAAACCCCTGGAAGCCCATTCACGAGGAATGTACCCGTCCTTTATATTTTTTATTTGTCGTGAGAGTACCGTTTCCCAGTACCGTCGACAATATAATATAATATACATCATATTATATATATATATATATATATATATATATATATATATATAAAGAAACCTCATTTGCATAGTGATGAGTATAAAAACAGAAAAGGCATACATAGTATTAATGTGCAAGCAACGAGCAATGCCATGGAAATGTTCACAAGCGTTGATGTATCCTGGCCTGGGTCAGTTTACGACACCAGAATTTGGAAAAAGTTCTTAAGTTTGAAGAAAAATGGCTGGAAACAAAAAGAAATCATTACTCCATTTAGATTTGGGATATGGAATTGCGCTGTGGTTAATGACTCCATACTTAGAACCAAATATCTCAGATGAATTATCATATAACAAATGTTTTAAAAAGGAAAGAGTAATTATAGAGAGATGCTTTGGGCAAATAAATCAATGATTTCCTATTTTACAAACACATATACAAACATATATGCAAAAACAAAATTCCTCAAACTATACTAAGTTGCTTTGCTTTGCATAATATAGCAAAAATACTCAAAGACAAGGATTTTGGGAACATGAAAATTGAAGAGGATTCTTTAGTAATGGAAACGGATGAAAGCATGAACCCAGATACCAATGGCAGCAGAGGAGAAATGAAATTGAAAACCCAATTCATAATTTAAGAGTAAGTACACTTTATTCAGAACTTTCAAAATTGAATTCACATACAATGTTTTCCCTCATTTCTTTTTCCCACAATAATTTCTGGTTTTGTAATCTAAAAACTTCCAATTGTTTTGAAAGAACAAGTCTTTGCAGCTCTGCCAATGATAATTGCCGGGTTTTATCGTTTTCTGCTTTTCTTTTCCTTTTAGCTCTGATGGGTTGAGGCAGCGGGCTTTCTTGACATACGCACTGCTGATTGGAGTACTCGTCGATGGACTTGCGGATTCGGTTTCTGCTTCAGCTTCTGCTTCAGATTCTTCTATACTGACACCAGAAGAAACAGCTCCTGTGCACAAATAAATATGTTCATGCATGTAACAATTCACTTCATTGATGCTGAAATAAACATATTTTATGAAACTTGTTTTCATTTTCTTACCTGGTAATCTATTCACCGACAGATTGCTATCTTCATTCATCAGTGTATACATTTTTTCCAGTTCTTTATAATGCATCCAGTTTTTCACTCCGGTTTTTCTCAGTCCCGTCTTGTATTTCACTCGTCACTTCATATTAAAAATGTTTTTTTGGGTTTGTTGCTCAGTAAATTGATTCCCAAGTTGTTCTTGTATTCTTCTGATTGCTTCTGCCTTGCGACCTCTGCACTTCGGAAGCTGACTTTTTGATATTACCACGAAGTATTCTTTTAATAAATCTACAAATTTTACCTCGCTCTGAGATTCTATTTCTTCTTTGAACAGATACAATCGAAACTAAACTTGAAACAAACACCAACTACCTCACTACCGTCACCTGTAGACAACAGCGCTGAGAGTATTCACCTCCGTCGGAAAGTCTCGGAACTTCAATATGCCCAACAAATAGTCAACAATTCACATATAAAATCTCTATCAAGGAAGTATTTACTCAACTCTGCTCATCTGACGAGAGTAATTATTCTGACGAGATGGTAACACTTTATTCATAAGAAACTGAGTAATTACATACACTAAGCAAAATGTCGAAAGTTTCTTCGTGAGTATTTACTTACAGTAATTGCTCGTTTTTATTAATATCACGTCTAACTTACGTTTTAAAATATTTGAATACATATATTATATCCGCTCTCTGCCTTACATTAAATACACATAAAGAGGAACGTGTATTAGAGTAAATGCAATCATTATTTCACATGTTGGATATTTTAATTTGAATTACTAACTGTTTACAGTTTTTTCGGGGACATATCTAAAATTACCAAACTTGCTGCGTCTTAAACCTCTGATGTATATTTAATAGTAACCTGATACCTGCAGCCGTGGGGAATTCAGCAGCCTACCTGTGCCCACTATGGTGTGCGCTCTTCCGCAAGCCACGTGCGTCGCTTTTTCCGGTTTCAGCGCTGAAAGACAAAGAAATTAGTTACTACACCATTTAATTATCACGATGTGCACTCACATTCACGACATTTAAAGAGAGACATTCGCTGAATAAACTCTGCAAATTGCTTCATGAAATATTTTGTTGCGAAAAACACGTAATGGAGAAAACATTACTGTCATTTTTGCTTCTCTGTGGTCGTTAATCCGCAATAAAAAAACATTTGAAAATAGAATACAGAGTCTACGCGATATCACGCTTTAATGGGAGAAAATTGAAAAAGACGAATGGTTTCGTCTTGAGTATATTTAAAATTATAAAAAGAATAATTTCTTCAAAAAACCCTCTAAATTTTTCTTTCAATTTCCCCCCACGAATAAAATAAGGAACGCTTGAAATAATGACACAGGTCCCATTATTGTTAAATTTCGAAATTTGAATTCCGAAAATTGCAAATTTGAACGCAATGCGAGAAAGTTTGTAATAATGGAGCACCACCGGCCTATAAATGAATTTTTTGAATCGCTGCATTTCCACGGAGAAAAGCACACTTTATTGTTGTTTGGCAATATTTTTAAATTGTAGGCTTCGTTGTTCTACTTTTCAGTACTACGTAGTATGAGCTCCGCATAAAAGACCACAAGGTTGAAAAAATGATCTCTGATTTTTCAAGTAATATTCGGTAACTCAACTTTATACATGTTTTGATATTATTAAACTTAGTAAAATTTTGAAACTAAATTAGTGTTCGCTCCATGATGACTCTGAAAGACCGTATAATGAATAAACATGTTATTCTACTACTACTATTGCTACTGCTCCTGCCACTACCACCACTACTACTACTGCTCATATTTCAGACTGAATTTTCTAAGTTTCTCTTATGTAAATTATTGCCATCCTTTATATTATTGTAATTAAGCAATCATTTATCAACTAGATTGATTAAAGCATTAAAAAGCCTGAGATATGAGGTTTCTACAGGTATTGTTTTTATTTTAAGATTCTAAGTATTTTTAGTTTTTTATTTGCTCTGCTAACTCGTTTCTATACCTCCCAAAATATTTGTAGACTTGTTGTACAATGTACAGTGTGATCACACTCTAGAACATTCAAATAAATATACCCTTATTTTTATTTTTATGGGTTATGGGAGACCCTATGTTCGTGCTCCATTAAAAATTTAATGGTTCAAATTGGTATTTTTTGTTGAAATTCACTTTTGTTAAATAAATATTGATCGTTACTCTTGAAAATCTGATATCTAATTTTTCTCCACCGTACAAATATACTCATTATCTGGGAAAACCATTCACCCGATTCCTGCTTACTGTATTTTCAGTTATTCTCTCTTCGGTAAAGTCCTAGTCCCATCTATTGAAGTTTAATGTTACTTCATGAAATTTTATTTTATAATCGCTTTGAAATTTAACGCTACTATTACCGCTACACCTACTGCTAATCCTATTGTTGCTACTTCTGCTACGTCTACTGCTACTACTATTACAAATACTACTAGTAATAATAATAATAATAATAATAATAATAATAATAATAATAATAATAATAATAATAATAAATAATGTTACGAGGTTCCTTACACTTGACGCAGCTGGGTTTCGTGACTACGTTCCTGTGACCGAGGCCCAGTTGTCCGTAATCGTTGTTGCCGAACATAAACACTCTTCCCTTCTCTGCAACAAATAATGAAAACTGTGCTAAAGGATATCTATATGATGCCAGAACACACAACGTTGTCTCTTTCCAAGCAACCAAGTGAGAGGAATATGATAAGTGGGCATTTCATTTGAGTGAGGTTAGCAATGTAACAAGAAACCGTAGAATTTTAAGTGTAGCTTTTTAAAAAGTCATTGTGAAATACTCATATTCAATAGAATCTGATGTGGAATCGTTTTCCAATTACTTTATATAATTGCATAGTTTTGTTTATTACTTTCTCGCATACTGTTTACGCAGTAGGAGTACTGTAATGCTGCGAGGAAAACGGCGATTTTCCATTATTTCCAGACCCCGATCACGAAAAGTGGATAAATGTGGGTCCTGCATGTAGTACATTACTTCTTCTAAAACGTTGAATGGTCTGAACTTACGTGTTGTGGGTTCTTGGTATCGAAAAATTGGATTATAGCAAAACGTCTGTTTGTCCGTTTGTCTGTGAACACTTGTAGTGGCTAAACCGTAAGATTTTAATCGAAATTGATATTCAGTGATTAATTCGTTTAATGACGGGTCTCCTTGTGTTTGAAACATATATTTTGATTCTGGGACATACTTAAACCTACATTTTCAAACTTTTCTAAAAAATTGCTCCAATTGTTATCATTAAATTATTGCCTCGAGAGCAACGACGTCTAATGAGATGGTGTAGATACCATTTTCGTTGAACTCCCAGTTGTTTAGAATTTTGCAAAAGTTCAATTTTTTCTGCATCTTAATATAACTACTATAATGAGGATATACTGTTTTGTATAGAAATTGGTTCATCAGTAACTGAGCTTCAAGTAACGTCAAATTCAATTTTGCAAAAATATGAGTAGTTGTTGCGGGAAAATATCAATTTTTAAACATTTTTTTCAAAAACTGCCCCAAATTGTTTCTTTTTTTCGAATGGAGCAACGAAAAGAAAAAATAGTGCATGTTCCATTTTCGGCGAAGTCTCTATTTTCAAAAATTGCAGAAACTTAACACTGAATTGGCACAATATCGATAATAACGATTTTTTTAAATGAAGCCAGTCCTTTAAAGAGGTCATATTCAATTTCTTTAAAATTGAGTAATTTAGTGAAATTTTGAGCTGTTTTCAGATCAGCTTTTTCGATAAAAGAACTCGTGTTGAAGTACCCTATACCGTAAAAGATTTTTTATAGTAAATTACATTTTCTCACACATAGTGTCGTTTGAATCCACGTTTTCTGGTTATTTAATGCTAAAAAAGTTGCATTCTCTCTCGAATCGTCCGTCAGTGAAAACGCCTAAACTTTTCAGGAAAAACTTTTAAAGTTTTTTTTTTAATTCCCAAATTGACCAAGCCAGATTTGTCTTTAAATTTCTTTTAAGGGTATGATGAAATACGCGAATAAAGATTACATAAGTCCTTTATCCACTCTTACTCCTCAATTTTCGAAAAATATAAAATGTTGACGTTTTTGAACCCCCTAGTACACGTTCATTACTGATGATATAGATTGTTTTCTTCAAATGAAATTACTTCTTCAGAATTATTCCCTTCAATAATGTTTTCTTTTTTTCTTTTTAATAATTGTAGTTTCTGCACAATTTTGGGTGAAATACGTGCAATATTAAAAACAAGCTTTTTTGGAAAACGGTTACATTTTTCATTAATGTTTTTGTATGTATAGTATTAAATGCACTGAATGTCATGGTATAAACGCCATTTTGGTGTATACTTTTTATTTTTTTAAATCTCAAAAGTGTTATTTTCTAAATCTCTCGAATACCGTTAAAATCCATATTATACATCTATTTCATCATTTAAAACATTTGTTAATACAGAAGTCTCAATTTTTACTTTCCCGTATACGAAAGTACATATGGATCCGTAATATATAAGTATATACGGAAAGTATACGTAGTATAGGGAAAGTTATGTAATGCTGCGGTAACTGATTGCGAGATTTCAACGAACATGCACGTTTTCGGATCCCCAGATGCAGCAAAAGTGCTTTTTCAAAACGTCAGTCCGTCTGGTATCTGTGAACACTTCTAGCACCTAAACAATACGTAGGATTTTTTCCAAATTGAAGAAATCCACGTCTATCTGGCTCATGTCAAAACTTTGAGATTTTGAAAAACATTCTTCAAAATTTGGCAGCACTTTACATGAATCCCCCCGGACATTTTCAAATTTTTTTCAAAAATCGCTCCAATTTTTTTCTATAAATTTCTTGCAAGAATAGAATATACACACACACAGGTGGCACAGGTTCGATTTTCACGGTTAACTCTAAAATGTCAAAAATTTCAAATGTATGAATTTTTTTCGGTGTCTTCATACAATTATAAAATTAAAGATAGTTATTTTCCTTCATATAAAATATGTTCTCCATAATGAGTTATTTCATTAAGGTCGTGTACATTATTTTGAAAATTTTTGTAGTTTTCGCTAAATATTGGGTGCAATATGTGCAATTTAAAGAAGCCCCAAAAACAAGGTTTTCTCAAAAACGGCTCCAAATTTTTCTTTGAACTTTTGGTAGTGATAGTGCTAAATGTACTCTATAAGATGACACAAACTATTGTTATATTTTTCTATTCTGTTGGTTTTTCAAAAATGTTATTTTTCAAAACCAAATGTATTTTTGTACTTGCCTCCAATATTGTTAATATTTACATTAGCGGCATTTTGTTTACATTATTGTATTTATGAGTACATGTGCTTTAAATAACGTCCAATAAAGTTCCTCGAAAACTCTACCGTTTTTTGTGGGAATGAGCTCAAAATTCCTCATCTTCAGAAACGCTCAAACGCCATTTTCTCAAAAACCGCTTCAAATTTTTTCTTCAAACATTTCGAACGGATAGTGCCAATTGCACTCTTTAATATGACGTAAAGTAAATTTCAGTGTATTTTTTTGTTTTTTCAAAAATTACACAAATGTAAATTATTTGAAAGATCTCTCCCGTCGTTGAAATGCACATTTCTAGTCATTTGTAAACACAATTTTATTTGTTAGTTAAAGTACTTGAATCTAATTCAAATGAAGTTTTTGTTGAATGAAGAAAATGAAATGAAATGAAGAAAATGTTTAAAAATTTACTTTTGGGCAGGGATAGATGGACGCAGGCAAGAATACTCGTATGTGGCAAGTTTGAATAATTCACCGAGGCCAAAGGAAATAGGAAAGTAATACGGGAAAGTCTGTGCTATGCCTTAGCACCACTAGGTGTTGCAATGTGGAAGGCGAATATGGACTGGATATGGATATATGGAATGAAATGAAAATTAAATACAAGTCCAAATGGAAAGGTTCCTGGGCCTTGAGGACACTGTCCAGGGGAGTGTGACTGCAGTCTCTCTGACCGGAAGGTCCTAGGTTCGTGATGTGCTGGTGGCTGAATTTTTGGCACTAGCTTGTCAGCCAGGTCGAATTCGGTCGCTGTCTGGAGGAGCATTCTAGCGTCCAGCTGCTCTGATCCATAGTTTTCCTTGGTTTCTCCGATCAACACAAGGCGAATGCCGGAGTAGTACCCTACCAACGGGCCACGGAGCCCGCGCGATTTTTCCTACCTCTTTCTTGTTCTATTCTCTCCCTTTACACACACACTTACACGCACTACACAATCACACATGCAGGGAGACCGGTCGGGTGCGTGAGCGGCTGGGGCGGTGTCCCGCTGTGGGAGATAGCTGGTTGGGGAAAATCTCTCTAAGTCGGTGCCTGATCTCGCCATACAGCGAGGGATAAGTCACCGACACCTCCCGATCAAAATCATGCCCTACACTTACGGGACTATTGACCCTGTTAGTTGGCGTGCACGGAATCACTAAAACCACCAATCAATTGAAGGCAACAACAGGGAAGTTTAAAATTTAGATTTTTATTTCCGGAGTCAGCACGTAATACTATAAGAAGGCCAAGGAAAGTTTTTCTTTTTTAAGGAAGAGCAGCTTGAGAACTAATTTACCAAGGCCATGTGAAAACGAATACATTTTGTGAATGAATTTGAGAATTGATATTAAGTGCGAATGTGTTGTTAACATTTTTTTGGTTTAAGGGTATTTGTTTACGTTTTGTGTCATGTTGTGTGTATGTTTTGCTAGTTTGGAGAGACGGCAAGGACTCTGAGATATGATAAATTAGTACATAAATGCTGTATCGATGTTTGGCGGTGACAACAATTATCAATAGAATGTTGTTGTTGTTTTTTGTTTTCTTCATATGGGACAGAAGGGGCAATCCTACAATTCATGGTAAATCTCCAGTTTCCTGTATAGTAGTGATTTCCGCCCTCACGACCTAAATAAATTGTCTAAAATGATCTAATATCTTGCTTAGTATACTATTTATTTGTATTTATAAATGAGTGGAAGTAAATGTTAATATTTCCTTTCATATAAATAAAGAGATGTACTGAACTTTCAGGAGTATGCTCATCGTAGGATGAAATTAAGTAAAAATTATTAAAAGGAGAGATTTGACAAATCATCTCAGTGGCACGCCCAACGTGGGACGAAAATATAAATATTATTATTTGTATAAATAAGGAGATACCAGATCTTTCAGTATATGCTGAGTAAAATACGTAGTGTAGAAAAATATGTAATGCTGCGGAAATCGATTCAGGTGTTAGGGGCATTTGATACCGAAAAGTTGTTCTTTTTAATCGTCTGTCCATCCGTCCGTCTGTCAGGAAAGTTCTGTTTTTAAGAAACTTCATAATAAATCATTTGAAGCACTTGTACTCAGAAATGTAATAGTGTGGAAAAACACGCCGATGATAGAAATGTTAATGACGTAAGATATATTTAGAAAATACATTTTTGCACTAACACTACGCTGAGGTCAAGCAGAAACATGTTCTAAAATTAACGATTACAAAAATTTTAAAGTTTTAGATGACAGTTCCTGGAGTCACCTACGATTTTGGTGAATTATACTCATGTTTCTTTTTCTATTTTTGAATGAAAGTAATAATATATGAATGATATATTTATGTATTATGTAATTGTAATGACGTGAATATATGAATATGTGTATATTGTAAGTAATACGTGAATATATGAAAAAGCAGAGTAATGCCGAATCTGAAAAAGTAAGTTATTTTTTAAATGAAGTCTTTAAGCGTCAGGTGCTGAGACTATATATGAGAGTGGGTGCGTTGATTGTTTTCTGTTTTTTCGTTAAGAAATGATGGTCAAAGTGAGACGCGCGAGTCACTACACTACGAAGAGGTGGTGCCAATACGTGACATGAATGATTCTGCGCCTGCAACCACCGGGACTGCCAAGTGAAGAGTGGTGCATCGAGCAGGCGCAAGGCGGACAGACCTCAGTCACAGTACGAGTATACTGTGCCTCAATTCCAGACATTATTCGCGTACATCTTGGCGCTCTATCACCCCTTTCTTGTGAAAGCGAGGTATGTACTCAAACCAAGTAATGAAGTATTGTCGTCTGGATAAAAAATGAAGTTTGTAAAAGCGTGGGCTTCCGCGGCCGAAGTCACTAACTACTTGGCTCTTCAGGAGACGCCGCGACAGGCACAATTCCTAAGGCATAGGCATGAATCATAAGTGGGACTCTTGGCGTAATTGAAAACCTGGTGAAATTTAAATCTATCATTACATTCACTGCCAAGGAAAATAATTGCAGACTCTCTACAATGATCTACGTCTTGAGTCTACCTTTGTTCTCAGAGCCTTGTGAGAAGAAATTTACAGGTAATGCAGCACTCGTTGTTTCTTTCTAAATTATCAAAGTTGAGATGGGTAATATCTGTCTGGTATTTTTCTGCCGCAGTTAAAAGGCCAATATAAGTAGTACTTCCCTTTATATTCTTTCCAGGTCACTATGCACGAAGAATACCGATCTCAGCAAAGAATTTCATATCTCCTCGATTTCTCCGCTTCACGGTACGAGTAGAATGAATTCATTGTAGCTTGAGAACGAACTCTTACTATCTTACTCTGTCTTCACTTACAAAGCGGTGCAGCGTCAAAGTATCTATGAAACTACCCTTATCTGATCCTAAAAGAGAATTATGCAACCGCGAAGCTGAAAGTGCTTTTGCATTGGCTGGTGTTCACATTAATAAATTACTTTGTTTATTAATTATTTATTAATTTATTAAGATACGCGAAGTATCACAACAAAAGATAATTAATACATCTTAAGTGTAGCTAGCATCGAATGCTACAGTTTTATTGTAATTGTATCGTGCTTTTTGTGCATTTTTACGTCAGTATCATTTCATTTGTATTCATTAAAAATGTTCCTGTTATATTCTTTGTAGCCTGGATATAGAGAAAAAACATGATCATTGAAACGTTGCAAAAAGGTGATGTATGTATAATGATATATAAACACTTTGAAGTTTATGATTTTGTGATTTTATTTCAATTTACATTTTTGAAATGACTTGTCTGTCAAGAAAACTTTGTGGCCAAACTATATTCTGATATAAACGAATAGTGACAATTTCCTGTTTTATGTGTTAAATATAAAATTACGCTTCTTTCAATGATTTAAATAGCTTATATTTTGTACCCCAAATCGATCATTTCGGCCTTCAACACTGTGGCCTTCTCTGCGATATCTTCTCTTTCTCATCTCTCTCTTTATTAAACACAGAAGACGTTTCTTCTGAATTACAATATTCTTCAAAGAAACACTGAGACGCCTTGTGTCTTATGTACCTGTCGTATCATCTACCTATCCTATGAATAATCAGATGATGAAAATTCTGCTCAGAGTTTAATTTATAAAAAAAACTAGCGAAACTCGACTGATGTTCTGTCCTTCTTCTCCAACTTTCTCCTTCCCTCTCCCTTTCTCTCTCAGTCTGTTACATTCTGTCTCTGTTCTCTCTCTCTCTCTCTCTCTCTCTCTCTCTCTCTCTCTGTCTGTCTGTCTCTGAATCTCTGTGTCCCTTTCATTCACATTTAGATGCAGATTCTGCATGTATTTGAGGACGTGGGGTAATATCGACAACAAGAACCAGACAAGTAAAAATGTACTGGAATGTTCACAAAAGTTTCTTTGAGATCTTAGGCCTCAATATTTTAGTTTTTAATGCCCTAGAACGCTTAATTTAGGGATTATTTAACGATATAGATTAAACATGCTGCCGCATATTAGGAATACATAAACCTTCTAGGTTAAAAAAAACTAACATGTAGATGTGCCAACTTTAATGGAGATCGGTTACAGGGTCTCGGGAAATAACCGCTCATATATAGAAACCAACATCCATTTTTTATTTTCCACACTTACTAGCGTAAGAAGAGAAGATATTGTAATCTTGCGCCGGAAAACGGCGAATTTTTGACACAAAAACTCTTATTGCCTGGCCCTGGTAAGGAAAAAGGAGATAAATAAACCGGTAAATATAGAAAAAATTGCTTTAATACGTGATGTAGCCAGAGTCCACGTTTTGTGCGTCCTTCATTCTGAAAAATCGATTGACGGCAAAACGTCCGTCTGTCCGCCCGTCTGTGCACAAGGCTAGCGCATTAACCTTTCAGCCGATTTTCTCCAAAATTGATATTCTCCAACCGTTCTAGCTTATGTGACGGCCTCTGGGATTTGAAACCCATAATTTACTTTGGTACTTAACTAATGGTACTTTACATGAAACCCCTGAAACTATTTCAATTTTTTTTAAAAGGCTCAAAATGTTTGGATTCAATTTTGTTGTTGAATAGCGTAAAGGACGTTGAAAAGAATGGTGAGGGTCTCATTTTCGTTATCATCCTCAATTTTTTGCAAATTGAAAAAAAAAGATTAAAACTTCAAAATTGAAAATAGAGAATTTTGTCTCAGACAAAGTTTGTTGTACAAAATTAACTCTAAAAAAGATCACGTACAATTTTTTTGATAAACGAGTAGTTTTTGCGTAATTTTTGCTTGAAGTGTAGGAAATTTGTCTTAAAAGCCAACCCAAATTTTTTCTTTCAATTTTCTTCACTTATGTAATGAGAGACGGTAAAAAATATGGTGCTAGTCCCATTTTCGGGCATCGATCGGTTTTTTGAAAAGTTCTAAAATAAACATTTTAAAACAACAAAATTGAAGATGGTAATTTTTGCCACAGACAAAATCTACTGTACAAAATAAACTCTTTTCTGCAATGTATTTGTTAAACGTTTTGAAAAAAACGAGTAGTTTTTTGGTAAATTGCGATTGACGTTTACGAAAAACTTTTCGTAAAATCCGCGCCATATTTTTTCTATCAATTTTCTCCACATATGTAATAAGAAGGGATGTGATTTATATGCGATAAAAGCAGCCAAATTTGCGCATGTATGTAAATATATTTGGAAATATATGCAATTAAATATGAAAATATGTGAAATCGTGCAATGTAATATGTAAGTGTAAAAATAAATAACTAGTGGTGCTATAGAATGGCACAGACTTTCCCGTAATCGTTTCCTATTTCCTTTGGTCTCGGCTAGCTATTCGAACTTCCCACATACTCTTCCTTACTGCCATCTATCGCTGCTCAAAGTACATTTTTTAAAAACTTTTCTTAATTTTTCGGTTCTTAATAGTAGAACAAAAATATTATTTTAAGATTATTAAAGAACAGTAAAACCTCATCCTAAATGGCAATTTTCTTTAAAAATTTGGAATGCTTTTTAAGAAAATGGCGCTTAGGCGCTACAGTAAATTCAAAATTTGAAACACGTTTCCACAGAAAATTTTTGAGTTTTTGTAAAACTTCATCTAAAGTCTTTTGAAGCATTTTAGCTCAAAAATACAATAGTGTTTACAAATTTGACCTTCTTGCAGTGAGATTAAAGTACGTGTTCTTTACTAAATCACATTCGTTGATTTCAAAAATGAAATCAGAAATACTCCATAACGTGCCAATTTTTCTGGAAAAGATACGCCTCATTTCGAGAAAGAGATAACTCTTTCGAGAATTTTGGAAACGACTTAATAATAAGCCAGGCGGAATCTATAGTGCATTTATCTACAGGTCAAATAAACATTATTTGTACTACAATTTTTTTTTGTGTTCAATTATTTGTATAATTAATTGTTCGTATTACGAAACACAAAGCGAAAATAGTACGAAAAAGCAAATAAAGTTTGAAAAGTACTTACGAGTTAGAAAAATTTCCTGGAAAATTTTCCGTTTGTGAGTGGATGGTGATACATATTGTCGGAATGTCCTGCAATAGTCCGTCAAAGGTTTGGTGACCATCTTCCCTTACATCGCCTTTCCAAGGCAGGGATACGTCGGTGAAATCGCTCACCATGTTCGTCACTCACTTCTCCAACGTTAAACGGGAAGAAATCGGAATAGGAATGAAGGAAATGTAATTTTAGAAACATTCTGCACCCCATAGACTTGAAACAGTCCAGCATGTGATCCGTTAGTTCTATGTAATCCTCAGACATTACTTTTCCCAAGAAATTGTCGCATTTCAATGCAAGCCAAAGTGCCTTCTCAGTATCTGTCAGCAAGTGTACAAAGGTAATAGTATAGAGGGGTGGTAACAGCACACTTTCTTTGTCAACAAGCATTTTATCCGTCACATTTTTTTTCCATAATTGAAAATTTCTCTCAAAGGCCACTTTTTGAATACATAGTCTTCTTTCTTTTTTTACCCCATCGGTAGAAGGAACAGAAAATATTTTGTGTGAGCAGATTTTATTCCTAGAAGAAATTTCAGAATTTTGAGACACTCACAGATTTTCCATATGTGATTCGAATACCAGTGTACTCGGAGAGTAGCCTCATGTTCTCGTAGGTTTTCTTTAACTAAACTGAAAAGGCCACTGGTATCGAAATTTTCTCTTTTCCGTTTTGTATTCCGAATGTCTTTGAGGCTAGTCTTTGAGGAATCTATGAATAGGCGCCATGCTTCCCGATTGTGAATCATTCCAAATTTTGTAAGCAGCCCATTTGTATCATTACGATATAAACCAAAATATATGTTTTTGATAAAAAAGAGGAAAGATGGAGTTGTCTTTTTCAGAATGTAATTCTTGTGTTTAATTGTAACTGGGTTTCTTGAAGACGAGACCCAAGTAATTCGGCTTGCCTCTTTGACAGATTTCGATCTCTTACAAGATAGTTTAATTCTGCCTACGACCATGTCTGTGATTGTAGCCGTGCTGCAGATGGTGTGAATTCAAGAACATTGCGATCTGGTGATTTGTGAATACCATCGTGTTACATCTTTAATTGTCCATTCCGTTGGAGGTTTTAGAACTGGAAGAGAATCAGAATGGGGCGCATTGCAGATTCTAAATTTAGATAAGAAACTGTGATTTGATTTACTTGAGATTACTGTTACTTTCGTTAAAGAAAAGTAACAATCTGTAATGTGTACCCTTGGTTTCCTCCACAACTGTGGTATGGCTCAAGACATGGATGGCAAGGTTCCATGCAACCAGCCTCTTAAATAGCGGGAGCAAGATGAGAAATAGTTCTGTGGTGACCAACACTTAATCCCATCTACCTTTGATTCAAAGTACAACTCGTACGCCTTTTTGGCAGTTGGAGAAATGGGATGTCTTTGAGTAATAGTTGTAAACTCGCTTCACACATAACAGAAAATATTTGATGAATTAACAGACATCCTAGACATTGTTGAGTGTAAGAAACACAAGAACATGCACAAAAAATACTCATGTTAGAGGATTTACACACTTCAAGAATAGATACTGTGCTTTCTCACTCGTGCAAGTGCAAGTGCCTTTACCTATCCCAAGTGCCTATCTCTCCCTCCCTTCTCTACACCCAACATTAGGCAATAATATTCTTAAAATATTAATATATTTCACACCAACTACGGACCACGAGAAAAATTAAATGAATGGAAAGAAAAACGATGAAACGCTATCGTAACTGTTATCTTACGACGAAAGGCAACTCAGTGAACAGCCTGAAATTTTGTAATTATTTTGATGTAAATTGCATATAATCTAATTACTGTATTGAAATTATTAGCCAAGCGAATGCACATAGTTTTGACAATGCCGAGTTGGCAATAGTGCGTTGCTCGCTTTTTGGTTGAATTTGGACGATTTCAAATAATAGCTTAGGGGCTAGTAGCGCAGAAAAAACAAAACAAAAATATTTCAATACTACATAGCTGATTTCAATTACGCGAGAAAGAGCGCGCGCGCGCGCTCTCTCTCTCTCTCTCTCTCATATATATATATATATATATATATATATATATATATTATATATATATATATATAGCCCTAAGCTATTTATTTGAAATCGTCCAAATTCAACCAAAAAGCGAGCAACGCACTATTGCCAACTCGGCATTGTCAAAACTATGTGCATTCGCTTGGCTAATAATTTCAAACAGTAATTAGATTATATGCAATTTACATCAAAATAATTACAAAATTTCAGGCTGTTCACTGAGTTGCCTTTCGTCGTAAGATAACAGTTACGATAGCGTTTCATCGTTTTTTCTTTCCATTCATTTAATTTTTCTCGTGGTCCGTAGTTGGTGTGAAATATATTAATATTTTAAGAATATTATTGCCTAATGTTGGGTGTAGAGAAGGGAGGGAGAGATAGGCACTTGGGATAGGTAAAGGCACTTGCACTTGCACGAGTGAGAAAGCACAGTATCTATTCTTGAAGTGTGTAAATCCTCTAACATGAGTATTTTTTGTGCATGTTCTTGTGTTCTTACACTCAACAATGTCTAGGATGTCTGTTAATTCATCAAATATTTTTCTGTTATGTGTGAAGCGAGTTTACAACTATTACTCAAAGACATCCCATTTCTCCAACTGCCAAAAAGGCGTACGAGTTGTACTTTGAATCAAAGGTAGATGGGATTAAGTGTTGGTCACCACAGAACTATTTCCATCTTGCTCCGCTATTTAAGAGCTGGTTGCATGGAACCTTGCCATCCATGTCTTGAGCCATACCACAGTTGTGGAGGAAACCAAGGGTACACATTACAGATTGTTACTTTTCTTTAACGAAAGTAACAGTAATCTCAAGTAAATCAAATCACAGTTCTTATCTAAATTTAGAATCTGCAATGCGCCCCATTCTGATTCTCTTCCAGTTCTAAAACCTCCAACGGAATGGACAATTAAAGATGTAAAACCCCACGGATGGTTAATTTAAAATCCTTCTTTCCCGTGGG